GGGCTGGGCCTGCTGTCACTGTTCAGCCTGGCAGCACTCTCGAAGTTCTCCATGGCACAACCCTCTCTTCCCTGCCCTTCCTTCTCCTGCAGAGGGTGCGCAAATCCATTCCCGTTCGGCGTGGAAAGGCCAGGGCCTCACCAACCGAGCTCATGGCGCAGCCTGAGCCCAACCCGACCGAGCTCAAGGCCAAGGCTGACGCCCCAGCGACTGAGGGCATCGCAGACGCTGACAGCACACCCGTTCAGCGCCTGCCCGATGCTCCCAGTCTGCATGTTCCTGAGGAGAGAGTTGTCTCTGCTCAAGTAAGCAGCCTGTGGGCAGCGATTGTGTGGCCCCTCAAGCTTGTTCCGCTGGGCCCCCTCAGCCTTTGAGGTCGACACTGTGTGGTGGGAAGGGAAGCGCTTCTCGGCGGGAGCTGGGCAATTACTCCCTCTGGCAGCTCTCCAACTCTCCCCTGTGTCCCCTCCAGGTGCCAGCTCTGGTCAGGTCCATCCACTCATGGCTGACCTCCAATGTGTCTGCTGGGCACGTGCTGGATAAGACCCTCCTAGCACTGACCGAGGCACACCCCGTGGATGTCGCCATCACCCTCCTGCGCTGTGCCCCCTCGTGTGACAGGTACGGGCCCCAGCTGCCTTGAGGGCTTCGGGCTCACCAGCCTTTAGAGCCCATCACCCCCCCGCCCTTGAAAGAACCGTGGCTCTGTCAACCGGCCCCTGCAGCTGCCCAGGTCAGGGCGCTGTGGTCCAGACCCCCCTGACGCAGAGCTCTGACTCCACAGAGCTGCCGCAGCCATGTGGAGGACCATAGCCTCATCGGGAAGGACACTGCAGAAGGTGCTGCCGACCCTGCTCGACGCGATGGAGGACTGGCCGTGGTACTACACGGGCACCTCCGATGGGGACAACACAGATGTCTTCGCCCTGGCTGTGAGTTTCTGGAACCTTTGCTTGCCCCCAGCTTGCCTCTCTGGCAGCTCTCCATCCTCCCCCAGCACGGCGTCTCCCTGCCCATCTCCGTGCAGGCGCTGGGCTGGAAATGTGGGCTAGCAGCAGGTTCGGGGGCACCGGGCCGGGCGCTCCCCCCGACTCTCCCCTGGCCTTCCCCTCCCACGCTCGGGCCCTGCCACATGGATGTGTTGGCACTGACTGCTCTGTCCGGCTGCTTTGTCTTTTGCAGGCAACTCTGGCACTCTGGATGATTGTCCAGGAGCCCCAGTGCCCGGGGCCTTTGATGGACTACTCCCCCCATCTCCTCGTGGATCTGCTCTTGCAAGTCTTCCTCAGCACAGAGCAGACGTCAGAGGAGGTCGACACGTTCTGGAGGGGATGCCAGGAGCAACACGACCTTCCCACCGAGCCCAACAGGTGCTCCATGCCAGTCCTCCCCTCCCTCCCATGCCCTCGGGGCTGGGGCCAGGGCTCCCAGCGTGACCTGGGCTTTGCTCTGCACACAGGTTTGCAGTGCTGGCCATGAAGGCCCTGCTCTGCTGTCTCCACTGTGAGGATGCGGTGAATTCAGTGGAAGACAATGGTGGCTGGGCCAGGCTCCTCAGCGCTCGCAGCCGCCACTGCACAGTGGCTCTGCTGGCCAGGTGAGACCTCCTGGTCCCCGCTGCCCCTGTCATTTCTGCCTGTGCACGGGGCACCCCACACCGCGCCCGTGGGCGTGGGCCAGAGGGCCTTGTCACCCAGGGACGGCCGAACAGAGTGGAAAAGGCTGGGAGAGGCGGGGGCACAGGAGGAGCCGCCTCCCAGAGTGCCCTGGTCCCCTCCTGGGACTGGGCTGGTGGGGAAAGACCAGGCCTCTGTGAGTCCCTCCCGGGAGAGGTTTGCCCGCCTGGCTCAGGTCGATGCTACCTTTTTCCCCCTGCCAGGGAGAAGCGCCACGTCTCCAGCCCCTTGTGTTCCCGCATCACACTCCACCTGCTGGAGCTGCTGAGCAGGGAGGAGCCATGCTGGGACCTGCCTGCCATGGCATTCCTTGTGGAGGTGAGCCTGCTGCCTCGCGCTGCCTCGCCGAGCTGCCTCCACCTCTCTGCCCTCTCGCGGCCGCAGCTGCCCGGGACGGTGCCGCGCCCCGTGCTGCTGCCTGGGCCCAGCCCTGTGCGGGTCCAGGCTCCTGCTGGCCGGGCACCCCGTCACTGCTCCGTGCCTTTCAGGTCCTGGACTGCCTGGACACCAGAGAATGCGGTGACAGGGTCCTGGAGATTCTTTCAAGGAACTCGGGGAGCACCAACACAGAGCGGCGTCAACTGGCGCTCCGAGTCCTCGTGGCACTCAGCCAGGATCCCGTGATGGTGAGAAGGGGCAGTTGGCTGAAGCCGTGCTGGAATCCTGGGGCAGTCGCTTGGGCTTGGCTGGGCTTCGGGAGCTGTGGCAGCTGCTCCCAGCTCTGCTGCCTCCCCGTTCAGCTGCCCGAGTCCCTCGGGACAGGCCTTTGGCCTCCGGGCCCCGCGGCAGCATGTGGGGCTGCCCCGCCGGAGCGGGATTGCTGCTGCAGCCGTTGGTGGCTTCACGGCACAGCATTGTCTTCCTCACAGGCCAAGAGCATCTGGAGCCTGAACGAAAGGCTCGTGCAGCTACTGGGGGATGCAGACAGAGATGTGGTTTGGATGACCCTCTCTGTGTTCAACAATGTGCTCTGGAGCAGTCTGTGGACACAGCGCCACAAGAGAGTCCACAGCAAAGACCCCCTAATAGCCCCCCCCACCGGCCTGCAGTTGGCTGAGGCGCTCCGGCCACTCTTTGACCACGTAAGGCTCTGCGCCCCCCCCCCCCCACCCCCCCACGGGCTCTGGGTACTGCTGGGAAACTTTGGTCCCTGTGCATTTTCAGACCTGTGCCCAGTGGGGCCTGGAGAAGCTGCTGCTGAGGTCTTTTCCTCTTTCTTTCCACCAGGAGGACAGCAGTGTGCAGGAGGGCTCCATGGCCCTCTTCACTCGTGTGATCCAACTGATCGAGAGAGAGGGAAAGAGGCCCCTGAAGCCACTCGTGTGCCTGAGCCTGCTCCCGCTCTACTTCCACCGGCATGATGAGAAGGTGGTCGTGAAAAAGGTGAGGACTCGTGGGCCCTGGTGTCCCGTGGGAGGGGGCTGGGCTGCCTTTTGGCCTGGCACCTCCCGGGCTCCAGCCTCCTCCTGGCCTTGGTCCCGGGACAGGGGTCCCGTGCCCTGGGCTGCGGTGCCATGTCCTGCTCTCTGTTGCTCTGCAGGCCTCTCGGAAAGCACTGCTGGCTGTGACCAGGTTCCTGAAGAGGAGGGATCTCAGGCACCTGGTGAACACAGAGGAGCCACGGAGCTTTGGCGAGTGCCTGGTAAGGACGACCCCAAAGCCCCAGCCCCCCCATGCCCAGAGTGTGGGGCTGGCACTGTGCCCCTGCCCACTGCTGCACCCGCCTGTGGGACAGCAGCCTGCGCCCCACACGCTGCTGCCTTCCCTGGGGCGTGCGGGCTCCTCCGCAGGCTCCTCTGCCCCCGAGCCAGGGTGCCGCTGGAGCCCCGGCCCAGCTGGACTGTGGGGCAGGGCAGCCCCGCCGCTCCCAGGGAGCAGCCAGCCCTCTGCTCCCTCCAAAGCCCGGCCCCAGCGGCTGCTGCCCGGGCCTCAGGGCTGTGCGGCCAGGGGAGGCCAGTGCTGGGCGCAGGCAGCGCCCGGACAAGGGGCAGAGCCCCAGCCAACCCTTCCCTCCGTGCCCTGTCGCTCTCTCCAGCTGAAAAAGGACCGGAGCCGAGTGGCCAAGTACATGCACCAGGCCCTGCCGTACCTGCGGAGCCCACAGCAGCCCCTGCGAGAGGCAGCCATCAAGTTCATGGGTGAGCCACGAGGCCGCGGTCCCTTCCCGACCCGCTGCAGCTCGGGCCCAGCCCCGGCTGCTGCAGCGGCAGCAGCATCCGGCCCAAGGATGTGCTGTGGAGCCCCGAGTGCCCCGGCGGCTGCTGCTGCCCTGTGCCAGCCCAGCCCTGGGGCGCCCCGAGGCAGGAAGGCCCCGGGCTCAGCCCTGTCAGGGCAGGAGGGCGTGTGGCCGGGCTGGCAGCGCCGCTGGGGGGGCAGCTGTGCCGCCGGGGCCGTGACAGAGTCTGTGTTCCCAGGGATCGCCGGCGGGTACCTGAGGGGACAGCCCAAAGAGCTGCAGCTCATCATCGATGGTGAGTCAGGGCACTGGGGGCTGGTGGAGGAGCACAGACCCTGGGCAGGCAGCTGCAGTCCTGC